CCACGCGCACGACCACCACCAGCGCCAGGCCACCCGGGCGGGAGACCACTCGCCGGCCTCGTCTGCGGCGGCTGCTGCGGCTGGTGCGGGGGCTGCGGCTACTGCGGCTGCTGCGGCTGCGGTGGCTGCTGCTGCTGCTGCGGTTGCTGGGGCGGGTGCTTAGCTGGACCCGGCAAGGTCCCCTCGTCCGCTCCACCACCAGGCGACCCGACTCCACCACTACCTCCACCTGCACCCCCACCCCGCCGCCGCGCCCAGACTTGGGGCGGCGACCCTTCCCCGGACGGAACTGCGCTGCAGCGGCGGTCTCAGCCACAGCTGCAGAACCATCGGAGAAGGTGCACTGAGCGGGGGCACAACTCTGAAAGATAGGGACCGGCACAGTACCGCTCGCCTGGACAATAGAGCGATGGCGGGTCTCGATAACAGTCAGGGTGTCTACAAAGTCTGTAAGGGTGAGGTCACCGTGGTGGATGCTAAGGAAGCGGTCACGAGCAGCGGCAAGGCGGTCAGGGAGGCGGGTGGCAAGCAGGTAGAGGGTAGAGGTAAGGGGCGGCTGATGGGCTCTAAGCTGTGCGTCAGTGCAGGCAGCACGCCAGGTCTCATCTATCGTGCGGAGGTGAGCAGCTAGGCCAGCCACCGTGGGGAACGACGCTAGGTCAGGGAAGAGGAGAGGGAGGATTAGGCGACCCACCGAGGCAGCAGGCGGGGTGGAATAGCGCTGGATAACAGCATCTAAGAAAGCCTGGGCGGTGGTGATAGACCGAAAGCGAGGGTGCTCAGACAGGGGGAGGGCATTGCTAATGGCAAGCTGTGCGACAGCGTCACGGGAAAGCCAGATAGAGCGAGCAAGAGCAGCGGCCGCAGCAGACTCACGCTCAGCAGGTGTGGGGTCAGCTGGCAGCACAGCAGGGGGGTCTGGGCAGAGAAGCGTACCGTCAAGGTGTACCGAAAGCGAGTGGCCATCCTGCCGCTGGCCAGTGAGGTGGCGGCGGAGGTCGGCTAGCCAGGCCTCGAACTCTAGAGGCTGGCCTTCAGCGTGGAAGCGAAGCTCCCCCGCCATCAGGAACAGTGTTGGGCGGCGCCAGGCGAGTCAGTGGAGTGCAAGACAGCGCAGTACGGTACAGTGCGGTACAGTGTGGTACAGTGCGGTGCAGAGGGATGCAGAACTGTACCAGGGAGGGTGCAGGGCAGTAGCGGGCATGAAGAGCGGGCCGCACACAAATCGGCGGCAGGCCGGCAGGAAGGTGAGCACGGGGCCGGAGGTCGACGGGCAGGGCGCGCGCAGGTGTTGGCAGGACGGGCGCGGGGGCCAGTAGGGCGGGCTCGGGGCCGGCTAGGACGGGTGCGGGGGCCAGGAAGGACGGGCGCGGGGTTGGCTAGGACAGGCCTAGGGCGAGCGCTGGGGCCGGTAGTACGGGCGCGGGGCCGGCTAGGACGGGCGCGGGGGCCGGTAGGACGGGCATAGGGGTCAACTAGGATGGGTGCGGGGGCCAGGAAGGACGGGCGCGGGGTCGGCTAGGACGGTCCTAGGGCGGGCGCTGGGGCCGGCTAGGACGGGTGCGGGGGCCGGTAGGACGGGCGCAAGGGCCAGCTAGGACGGGCGCAAGGGCCAGCTAGGACGGGCGCCGGGCAGGCTAGGACGGGCGCGGGGCAGGCTAGGACGGGCGCGAGGGCCGGTAGGACGGGCGCACGGGCCAGTAGGACGGGCGCGGGGGCCAGTTAGGACGGGCGCGGGGCTGGCTAGGACGGGTGCGGGGCCGATAGGACGGGCGCGGGGGCCGCTAGGAAGGGCCCGGGGCCGGCTAGGACGGGCGCGGGGGCCGGTAGGACGGGCTCAGGGGCCGGTAGGACGGGCGCGGGGCCGGCTAGGACGGGCGCGGGGGCCGTTAGGACGGGTGTGGGGGCCAGCGAGGACGGGCGCGCGGGCGCAGCTAGGACGGGCGCGCGGGCGCGGCTAGGACGGGCGGCTAGGATGGGCGGCTAGGGCGCGGCTAGGGCGATCACGGGGGGTCGACTAGGACGGGCGCATGGGCGGCTAGGTCCTAGAGCGAAAGCGTGGGCGGGCGGCGGGACCTACCTACTGCTGATACCATCTTAGAACTGAATAATTGAGTAACTAGAGAACCTGGGTACAAGGATATATAATCTATACTGTACTCTCTAAGGGTTGTAATCTCTAAGAGGTGACCCTATACAGTCGCTACAAACATTAGAGATACAAATGTTTGACAGTCATTTCGTTCCTGATATCTTTCGCTACTATTTTAAACTCTTTCCTTTTCTCCCCCCCTGTTTGTGCCATTTCTGTCGCATTGCGTTGCCTGTTTAATCCGTTTGCGCGTTAATGCAGAACACGGAAGTCCGGGTTTCTCATGTGATAAGTGTCCAAAGCTATGGTGTGTGCTCCAACAATAGCTCAGCAACAACACTTCAACCGCTGGTTGGTATGGACCCGACATTTCTTAAGATCTCCTAGTTCACTTTTCGGGTTGTAGATTTCATAACGACCAACCCTACAGATCATCCATTTCAGACTGCTTAGCAAAAAGTTCGAAGATACGCATTAGTTATCAGATGCATTTTACAATTAGTTCCGTGACATTAACTGTCGTTTTTGCTTGTGCAGAAACTGAATATCTTTTCCAAGACCAGAAACTCTAGTTGATACTAGTTATGCTTGTTGTGCTTATGTTGCACATAGTTTAGGTTAGGTTAGGAAAACCTCATTGCAAATAGGTTTACCTTGTTAACAATTATGTGGTATGCTAGTAACACAAGTATTGCAAGGTCCATTCATACTGACTGTTTCCAAACGCGGATTTTGTGGATATTGAAAATTTTGGACGGTCGTGATTGCATCTCATAGGTCGCGCCGCGTGAGCTCTTAGCCAATAAGGGTCGACCGACATTTTAGGTCGGTGGCTAATCGTGTGTGTCCTTCGCACATAAACGAACAGTTTGTCCACACGACCCAATTCCATTTAAATGGCCCACATGTTCATCACAGAGAGGCTCCTATTATTTTGGGCAAAGTGCTGCCACGTGGCGAAATAATACGTCACTTTATCGTCACATTACAGGGACGCAAAAGCAACGCTTTTGCATCTAAAATGTGACTTTTATGCGACTCACCATGTCACATCCCGAATGGGACTTTCAACCTTCGCTTGAAAGCTTACCTACTTCCGTATCTAGAAACCCACGCAAAATGTAAATTTCTAAAGTGTTCACACTTTCAAAATTGCGTATTATGAATGCGAAGCTGCTTGTAACGCAATCTCAGGCATCGTCAAAGCGTGCTTTTCGCCCTTCTCCAACCATATAATGGGGTTGGAGGTCATTCTTCCTCCACCCACGTTTTTCATTTTTCCCAGCTCAAGTTTAATTGAGTTCCCATCCCGCCTTTTTCGCCCCGCCACTCTGGCGAAGTTGAAAACTCTCCCTCGCGGGGAAGCACCCTCCCAGCTTCTCGCCGATATCCTTACGCATAACCAGGCAGCCATGGCCCCTCCTAGCACCCCGGCCAATCGTGCTGAAAATCTGCTCGTCGGCACTCCGAATATTTCGGAACCCGAGAAAAACGCCCGTGAAATGGCGGGTGATCACGGCAACAAGCGTCGGGCAGAGGGCGACCTCGCCCCTTCTGCCCTCGACGTGTTTCTGCGCAGTGGCGAGGTCAACCAAGTTGAGCTTGGTGAGCCACGCGCCAGCGAGCAGCAGGCGACGCAAGTAGCGGATGGCGCGTCACCTGCTGACGCCAGCGCGCAGAAGGCGCCGAACGGCAGGGCGGGCCCCTCGCGTCAGAACAAGCAAGGCCGCGGGGCGGCCTCGTCCAGCGCGCCAACACCCGCCGCCCTTGCTTTGACCAACAAGCAAGTGGCAGCTCTACTAGCGCTATTACAGCAAAACACACCCGCGGTTACAACCATTTCTTGTCAAACATATATATAGGTTATATTTGTAAAGACTGTATAGGTTCGTATCTTAGAGGGTACAACACGTAGGCTTATACCCTTATACATTTTTCTCTCGACATTCAATCCTACGTTAAGATGGTATCACGCTTGGTAGGTAGGTCCCGCCGCCCACGCTTCCGCCCTAGACCCTCGTCGCGCCGCCCCTAGCCCGTCGCGCCTGTTCCTAGCCGGCCCCTTGCGCCGTTCACGCCCGTCCTAGCCGGCCCCCTGAGCCGTCGCGCCTGTTCCTAGCCGGCCCCCTGCGCCATTCGCACCCTTCCTAGCCGGCCCCCTGAGCCGTCGCGCCCGTCCTAGCCGGCCCCCTGAGCTGCTCGCGCCCCTCCTAGCCGGCCCCCTGAGCCGTCGCGCCTGTTCCTAGCCGCCCCCCTGCGCCGTTCGCGCCCGTTCTAGCCGGCCCCCTGAGCCGTCGCGCCCATCCTAGCCGGCCCCCTGAGCCGTTCGCGCCCGTCCTAGCCGGCCCCCTGAGCCGTTCGCGCCCGTCCTAGCCGCCCCCCCCCCCTGAGCCGTTCGCGCCTGTCCTAACCGGCCCTCTGAGCCATTCGCGCCCGTCCTAGCTGGCCCCCTGAGCCGTCGCGCCTGTTCCTAGCCGGCCCCCTGCGCCGTTCGCGCCCGTCCTAGCCGGCCCCCTGAGCCGTCGCGCCCGTCCTAGCCGGCCCCCTGAGCCGTCGTGCCCATCCTAGTCGGCACCCTGCGCCGTCATGCCCGTCCTAGCCACCCCCCCCCCCTGAGCCGCCGCGGCCGTTCTAGCCGGCTCCCAGACCCGTCGCGCCCGTCCCTAGCCGGCCCCCTGCGCTGTTAGCGCCCGTCCTAGCTGGCCCCTTGAGCCGTCGCGCCCCTCCTAGTCGGCCCCCTGCGCTGTCGCGCCCGTCCTAGTCCCCCCCCTCCCCTGAGCCGCCGCGGCCATTCTAGCCGGCTCCCAGCGCCGTCTCGCCCGTCCCAGCCGTCGCGCCCGTCACTAGCCAGCCCCTCCCCTGAGGCGTCGCGCCCGTCCCTACGTGCGGGCGGTCTGAAGGTCTTCGACGAACTGCTGCGATTGAGGGACTTGACTTTCAGCGTTGGTGGAAATGGGTTTCATCGGATCCATCCCGTAATTTAGGGAAAATGGCAAATGATTGGTTATGGCGGAGGGTGCGTTGTTGTAGTAAAACTTGAGCATCGGTAGCGAATCTTCCCACTTGCGAGTATCCAGCCAGTTCGTGTGAATCAACTGTTCCATGGTCTGATCTGTCCGTTCTGTCTGACCATCGGTTTGCGGGTGATAGGTGGATGAGAATTGTAGGCTGGTGCCATATCGGTTCCACGTGTCTTGCTAATAGCACGAGGTGAATTTTGGGTCTCTGTCGCTGATGATCGCCACAGGGATACCATGCAGGCGAACGACAGCCGAGATGAATAGGCGCGCTGTTTCTTCGGCTGTGATCGTCGTGCGACATGGCGCAAAGTGAGCCATTTTCGTGAGGCGGTCGACGACAACAAGAACCGCGTCATTACCACTTGGTCCAGCTGGCAGGCCGGTGGCAAAATCTATTGTCACGCATTGTCAAGGTCGCTGGGGTGGCTCGAAGGGCTGCAACAATCCTACTGAGCACTTGCATGATGATTTCATTGTCTGGCAGATCGAACATGCGCCCACGTATTTTTGCACGTCCGAAATCATGTCAGGCTAGTAATAAAATCGTTGCTGTGCCTTTAGAGTCTTGTCGACCTTGAAATGTCCCGATAAGTTCGAATCGTGGACTTCTTAAAGCGAGAGACTATAATAGTGACCCCCCTTTCTAGTTGGGCCCAACTAGAAACGACCCAACAGTGAATATGTTTTTGGAGGGGCGGGCAGGAGCCCCAGTTTTTTACCAAGCCGAAGGCCACGAAATTGAACTTTGCTTGCGACATTTCGCACTGGCGACAAAATTTACGACCATAGAGTTGCGTGTTTAGCATTTCGACCAATCGGGGCCCAGCCCCAGTTTTGCTGGAGTAGTGAACACGGGTCCAACTTGAAATTCAAGTTGGGCCCACTTGGTGCAGCTTACAGGCAGTGGGGGCAGGGCGACAGTAGATGATAACTCGGAACTTAAATTCGTTATGTTCCTGCTTTTGTGTAATAGGCTCCTCGTGCAGTCGTGACCTGCCGTGGCCGTTGTTTACGAAAAAGGGATCGATCGAATTTCTGTGGGTAAATAGTCCACTCAACAACGGGTTCTTGTGGGCGATTAATTCAGCGGCGGTTTGGGCGGATGGTCTGGAGAGGGCACCCTTCTTTTACGTGATTCGGTACGTGAAGTTCGACTCCAGATAATCCAACCAGCGAATCTGCCGCGGGTTGAGATTCGGCTGCACTCGTAGGTACTATAGGGATTTGTGATCTGTTCGTATAGTCACATCGGCTTCCATCAGGTAGCATTGCCAGATCTTGAACGCGTGCACGACCGCAAGCATTTCTTTGTCATGTACTAGATAATTTCGCTCGGCTGATTATAACTTTCGCGACTTGTACGCGATTGGCTGAATGCCGTCGCCAAAATCCGGTAGCAGAACTGCTCTGATGGCGATGTCACTTGCGTCTGTCACGACCTCGAACGAGCGTTCTGGATCAACAATCCGAAGTACTGTTGACGAGAGTAAAACATTTCTTAATCTGTCAAATGCAGCTTGCTGTTTCACCCCCCACTGATAATCAACGCCCTTATGAAGTAGGTCAGTTAGGGCTCCTGTTAACCCCACCATGTTGGGGATAAGCCGGCACACATAATTGATGAACCCCAAAAACGATTGCAGCTCTCGGAGGTTGGTCGACGGCTTCCATTCTTGAATGGCCCGCATTTTGCGGGCCGTCGAAATACAGCGACGGAAAGTATTGCCCGGATATTTGCCTTAAAACATTTCTCGTACTGGTTTGGTGCTTTCTTTGTTTAGTTACAAATCAAATTTCGGGGTTGGATGTAAAGTAGTACTGTACTGTATGTGACGGATGCTGGTTTCAGTTTTATAGGGGTCGATTTTTTACCGAGGACGAGATTTCGTCCGCGTGGGTGCATCCGGACAGTTTAGGCCAAGCAGCGTAGTAGATCTATTTCCTAACCTCGCTATTTCTTCTTACTTGCCCTCGCGACTATCGAGTAGTCAGAAGATAGGCTAGGACGGCTGCGATGATTAGGCCGTCATGAAACCGTTAGATAAGGCGCTCTACGCATAGATCATTCCCTTGTTGCGGAGGGGGTAGAGCAATCGTTGAATCGCAAACAGCTAGCCATAGGGAAGAGTTCGGCCCATCAAGGCGATTGTAGAGTCTAGCCGCGATGACGTGCGTCCTACGATGCCCTCAGCCGGTCGCCCTCGCTTAGTGACAGAGAGAGTTCGCCACGGCATAGTTCGGTCGATTACCCTCGAGGAGGCAGAAATCTCCGCTCACGTGGCGAAAATCGTTGAGAAGCAGCACGGCATCACGTTGCATCCTAAGACATTGCGTAACGCTTTGAATGGGAGCCGACTTGTCGCAATCAAGCATCCCAAGAAACCGCGACACTCTCGGAAAAACATACGCGATAGGCTGGAATGGGTGCGTGCCCACGCAGACTGGACGGTTGACGACTAGAAGCGAGTTATCTGTGCGGATGAGACCAAGATCGGTCGTCTTGCATCCGACTGACTCTCATACGCCTGCGTTCACGAAGGGACACCCCTCCAAAGACACCAAATCAAGCAGACCGTCAAACACGGGGGCGGTTGCTTGATAATTTACAACTGCATGTCGTAAAAGGGAGCGGGTTTCATGAGCAAAACATATGGTAGGGTGGACGGACTGCTCTCGCTGAGTATACTGCAGGACGATCTCAACAGTACGATTGAGCTTTACTAGCTTACACCCTCAAAAACTATCTTCCAGCACGACAACGACCCGAAGCACAAGTCGCGTATCGTATAGGAGTGGCTTTGAGAGTAAGATTCAGGGGTGCTAGAGTGGCCGTCTTCCTCACCCGACCTCAACCCAATGGAGCATTTATGGGCTCATCTCAAGAGGCAGCTGGCCAAGCCTTATAAGCCTCCCACTGGTATGCTGGACCTCTGGGAGCGGGTGCAGGAGAAATGGGAGAAGATCCCGGCGGATGTGTGCACCCACCTGGTGGAAAGCATGCCCAGGAGGGTGAGGGCGGTGTCTAAGGCGAAAGGGCGGTGGATTAGGTACTAGTTTGGGGTTGATGTAACTTGCTGCTTGCGCCTGGCAATAATTGTCCACATGTACCAAGATTGTTATTTTCTAGTATTTGTTGTAAACATCATTATACTTGTGTGATGTAAGGCATGGGCGTCGAGCCTTACCCCAACCTACATACACTAGGCACACCAGAAGATTAAGTCTTAATGTCCATGACCCCCTAAAATGGCAAAATTCCTCTAAGTCACAAACATGTGGACAATACTTTCCGTCGCTGTAACGTGCCCCAAAAACTCCAGTTCGGGTTTTAAAAACTCGCAGGCCCTTGGTGATGACATGATTCTGCTGCAGGCACTGAAAAACCGCTTCCAGGTCCTTTAAGTGCTGCTCCCGTGTCGTGCTGTAAAACAGGATATCATCTTGATAAATGATCACTCATATGTTGAGTAGATCCTGGAATACCCCATTCATCGTCAGTTGGAACGTCAAGGGGGCATTCATTAAGCCGAACGGCATGACAGTGTATTCGTAACTTCCGTATCAAGTACGAAATGCGGTCTTGTGCCAGTCGTCAGCGGAAACTCGAATCTGATGGTAACCGCCACGAAGGTCGATTTTCGAGAAATAGCGACCTCCTCGCTCGTGGTCAATCAGTTCGTCCGCGGATGGGATTGGGTAGCGATATTTTATCGCAACCCGATTAAGGGAGCGATAATCAATGCACATTCGGAGGCCCCCATCCTTCTTGGGCGTGAACAGGATCAGGGCGGCGAATGGGGACGTGCTCAGTCGAACGAACCCTTTGGCCAGCAAATAGTCCACCTGGTCCCGTAATTCCTGGAGCTCAGGTTGCATCACCCGCCACTGTGTCCAAACAGCTGGCTGCGTGCCAGATTCCAGTTCAATCCGATGGTCCTGAGGGCGTTCCAGTGGTAGTCAAGGTGGCAAGTCGCTCGGGAAAATATCTGGGAACTGACGAACCAGTTTTGTCAGATCTTCGAGCACTGCTGCGTAGAGCTTATCGATGTCGGCCGGTTTATCGTCGTCCGTTGATTCCTTCAGATGGACGGCATACAGGTCCGCGCCTTTCTTGACCACGCATGTTAGTGTAATTGCGTTGACGCGTGTCGTTATCGGTTCTGCTCCTCGCCAGCTCGGAAGTTTCTGCCAGCCATTCGCACACTTCACTGTGCACTCGCCTATCGTCCAACCGATTTGCGGATTGTGTCGCCGACGCCAATCTCGTCCCAGCACATCGTAGCCATCGAGCGTCGTTGCCGACATCGGCGCGCTGAAACTGAAATTGTCACCACACTTCATGCGAACTGTTCGCACGCGATAGCGTATGGCCAACGAGATGCTGTCGACCAATCGGGCATCGATCTCGAGCAGACACCGCTCTAAGGGCAAGTTGCGAACGTCGGATTTGAGCCCAATGATGAACCGGCTCTTTTTCTCCGCTTCTGATAGGTCGGTGATTTGGTCACACGATGCCTGGAATGATGACGCGTAATCCTGGACAGAGGTCAACTGGCGCCAGGTGTCCAGCTTTGAGCGTGCGTTGTCTGGGGTGGATATGGGCTCGATACGTTTACGCAGAGCTGCACCCCACGCTATCCACGTGCGAATCTCGGCCGATCCAAAAATTGATACGTTGCGTCCCAGGCAGCAGATTCTGAACTCCCGAAAATCCCCTGAGTGTTCCCTGCCGAAGTCCTCGTCTCACTTAGCATTTATCACCACCAATCCAGTGCAGGTCCCCTCCGTAGTGAAACAACCAGCTTGATTCGTAAATCATCAAAAGTCATCCCAACAACATCAAAATAAAGCTCCATCGCAAAAAGCCAGCCCGTCATGGTCGTGTTTTTGTCCGTGGGGTTAAAAGGGGGCAAGATCGGCGACTTTATCTTAGCCATTGGTACAATTGGCGTGGCTGTGGCTGCTGCAAAAACTGTTGCTGCTACTTCGAAGCAGGCGGCGGCCATTGTCGCAGATGATGCAGCTGCCGTGGCACGTGCGGCGGCATTCGTTACTACCGCCGCTTCATCATCATGGCGCTCCTACGACATGTCGCGTGCGATCTCATCCAATACTGCTTCGACACGTCCAGTGCTGGCGGCGTCCGCGAGGGCGGTCTACTTCTGGCACGTAGACTCTTGCGTCTGGCAAAGCTCGGTAACTTCGGCGCTAAGCTTTCCGTTGTCATTTAGCACAGCTGTTAGGCGAGCCTTCGTGGCAGCGAATTTTGCCAACAACTCGTCAAACTGTGCCTGGTCCATGTGGCGCATACTACGCCGGGTGGACAGGGGAATATTCGTGATTACCCGTGCTCAAGTAAGAGCGCAAACGCTATCGTAGTCAGGCAAATTAATTCGTTTAATTCGCGGCTGACAGCTTTGCAGCTCAATGAGCGAATCACTCTGTCAACTTATACATTTATTTGTATGTAGAAGTTATAGGCTGGATAGGTGTGTATTCTTAGAGGGTACAACTCCAACCCTATGTCTCCCTTGTTTCTAGTTATTCTGCTATTCTAACATGGTATCATAGTACGTTAGGTCCGCCCACCCGCATCTGCCCCTCGCCCTAGACTTCCGCCCAGTTTTACCCTAGCCTTACCGCGCCCTAGCGCCCCGCAGGCCCCTAGCGCCCTATCGGCCCCTTGCGCCCCGCCGGCCCCTAGCGCACCTTGCTGGCCCTCAGCACCCTACCGGCCCCTCACGTGCCTGCCTGCCCCTCGCGTACCGCGCCTGTCCCTCGCGTACCTCGCCGACCCTTCGCGCTCGCCCGCCCCTCGCGTATCTCGCCGGCCCCTCACGTGCCCGCTGGCCCTTCGCGCACACGACCGGCCCCTCGCGCGCCTCGCCAGCCCTTCGCACTCGCCGGCCCCTCGCGTACCTCGCCGGCCCCTCCCGTGCTCGCCGGCCCTTAGCGCCTCGCCGACCCTTAGCGCCTAGCTGGCCCTTAGCGCCTCGCTGGCCCTTAGTGCCCCACCGGCCCTTGACGCCCTGCCAGCCCCTCGAGCGCCTACCTGGCCCTAGCGCTCCGCCGGCCCCTTTGCACCCTGCCGGCTCATAGCGCCTCGCCGGCCTGCTGCTCACCTCAGGCCCTGTGCGCCCTGCTCGGCCTTCTGCCCGGTCTTCCCACCGGAGAGTCATGCCGCCACGCCGCTGTGCCGTAGTGCACCGAGTACCTGTGCCGCTATGCCGCCGTGTCGCTGTGCCGCCGTGTTGCTGAGTTGTTGTGTCGTTGTGCCGCCATGGAGCTGTGACGCAGAGGTTCCATGTTGGCGGACGACGTACTCCGCCTGGACGCGGAGGGGCACGTGATCGACTTCGCCGCCTGGCTTGTCGATCTTCGCCATCACCTGACATGTCAGCACCACGATGGGCACTCCCTGGCTATGCATGTTGATGGCTTGCATCCCCTCCCTGCTGACCCCACCACTGCTGAGCGTGAGGCCTTTTCTGTTGCTGCCCTCCCTCGCGCTGTCTGGGATTCCCGCGATGCTATAGCGCAGCTCGCCATTAATCATGCTCTTCCCCTGTCTGAGCGTCCGCGCTTCACTGCTGTCTCGAACGCCAAGGATTTCCTAGATGTAGTAGTTGCGCGCTACTCCACACCCGCCTCTGCCTCCGCTAGCCGCTTGATCCTCCTTGTGCTATTCTTCAA